TGGGACTCAGGGTAGAGGTATCTGTCTGCAGTCTCTGGGAAATCTGATAATACTCCATTGAGAGGGCCTCTCCAGGGGCACGGGGGAGTCTGGGCATCTGCCAGGGGTTCATGTGTGGAGGGAGGAAGAGGGGAGGAGAGTCTTCACCACTACAGAAAAAGGTATGGAAGCAAGAAAGTCAGGAGACCTGACCATCCCTGCTGGGAGAGGTGGTGCTGATCTTCAACAGCCTGGTATGCTTGGCTAGGCCAGTGGAGCGGGGCGTGGGGGGGGCAGGGCATTCATTCAGCTCATTTATTCAAAACCCCAGTGAGTGCCATTGTGAACTGGGTATCATCCTCGGTGCTGGGGATTCATAACTGAACATAGAGCCTGCTACTAACATCAGCATATCCAAGAGAATGAGGGAGAGTCCTCATCTTTCAGAACAGCTGATGATCAAATCTAAGAGCAAGGTCCCCAGAGACAGCTGAGCGCTGACCACAGGGAGAAATGGCCTTCTTCCTCCTCATTCATTCTCCTCTAGTCTGGTTATCCGCGGTCACCAGAACAGAGCATCAGCAACTTGAGAAGACCTGGCTCAGTGCGTTAACAACACGAATGTGCTTATAAGTTAATGTACTGTTTGGACATCAGATGAAAATTTAGGTTTTGATGTACTGAGTCTGGGGTAGGGTCCAAGAGTTTGCAATTCTAACAATCTTCCAGGTGATTCTGAGACTGGTGTCCAGGTACCACATGTCAAGGAGCAAAGATCTCGAAAAAGATCTGACACACCCACTAGAACCCCAGTAGGGGTGGGATGAGAGGGGCCCACATGACAAGCTGAACCATATAGCCCTAGGCCTCCTTGAGGAGGTGGACAGGCAGGTACGTAGGTGCCAGCAACTGTTGAGGGAGTAAGGGGATAAGGGGTTCTGGGAGCATTCAGGTTGTGTAGAAATCAGTGAGGCACATAAGCATGGTGACTTTGGGAGTGTGTTAGTGATACGGTAACAGTCAGGGACTTGTGCTACAGAATTGGATTATCCAGGGGCTGGCAGGTGGCATAGTAGTTGAAGCACTGGACTCCCGCATGATGACTATGGTTCGAGTCCTGGACCTGACGGCTTGCTTTCTCACTTTCTCTCTCTCTGGTCAGATTAAAATAATGATATATGGGGCTGGCAGGTGGCATGGTGGTAAAGTGGCTGGAACCCCACATGGCTGACCATAGTTCGAGTTCCGGACCTGGCAGCTTGTTTTCTTACTTTCCTTTTCCCTCTCTCTCTCTCTCTATGGTCAGCTTTAAATAAATAAAATAATGACAATGAATAAAAATAAAATAAAATAATTCTAAAAATAAAATAATAATAATAATACATAAAATTAAAAAGATGATTCTTAAAAAAATAGAATTGAATTATCTGGGCTTAGGCCCCAGCATTAATATTTACTAGATGTACGACCTTGGGCAAGTTACTTAACCTCTCTGTATCTCTTACCCTCTTTTTTCTCACTTGCAAAATGTCATCTTTACAGGTTGTGAAAATTACAGGGACTTGAGCTCTTCTCAGTTACCACATGGGGGTGCAATGTGATTTTTCAGTTCATGAATATAATGCGGAATGATCAAATCAGAATAATTAGCATATCCATCATCTCAAACCTCATTGTTACTTTGTGCTGGGACCATTGAGAATGCTCTCTTTTAGTCATTCTGAAATGTACAGTAAATTATTGTTATTCTACTTTGCTATAGAATCCCAGAAACCATTCCTCTTATCTAACTGCAGGTTTACATCTCTTAACTAACATTCTCTATTGCCTCTACCCACTGCCTGCCTCAGTCTCTAGTAATCACTCTCCTACTCTCTTCTTCTACAGACCAACTCTTTCAGTTGCCAAGTACGAATTAGAACATGCATTTTTTCCTCTTTCTGGGCCTGGGTTATTTCACTTAATATAATGGTCTCCAGGCTTGTCTGTGTTGCTTTGAACACCAGGATTTCCTTCTTATAAATGGCTGAATAGTATCCCATTGTATGGCACCACATTTTCTTGATCTGTCTATCTGCTAACAGACACTCCATTTGGTCTCTTGGCTACGGTGAACAGCATTATAATAAATGTGGAAGGCAGACATCTCTATGACACACTCAGTTCCTCTCCTTTGGAAGTATGCCCAGTCGTGGGATTGCTGGATCGTACAGCAGTTCTATTTTGGGGTTTTTAGGAACCTCCATACTGTTCCGTGGTGGCTGTACCAATTTACAGGGGACACAGCTCTTTGGGGAGGATGCTATGCCTGTGACTGGCTGAGCTTCTTGGTGGTGCTGCGGTCACAAAGGCTATGTCAGGCCAGGAAGTGTCTTGGATTCCCGTGTGGGTGGGTTGTCATTTTCCAGGCTCAGTTTTCTGGGTAGGCATGGGATAGGGGCAAGATGACGCTGACATACCATGCATAGTTGTTGGCTGGTGGAGCCCAGGCACACTGTGTGTGGGGTTGAGGAAGGAAGCCTTCGTTATGCAGTGCTAAGATACCCCCAGAACCCTCTGGATAAATTTACTGTGTCAAGGAACCTGCCAGACTGGCACTTCCTCATCCCAAGTCAAGAACAGCAGGGATTTCCATTACGAGAAGAAATTCTGGGCCTGGACACAGAGTGGTCAAGGTTACTTCTCAAGCCTCTAGTGCAAACAGATATGACTGTGCTTCTCTAGACAAGATGTTTGTGCAAAGCAATACTCTGCTGACCTTCTGCCTCCAGTACTGTCCCTCTGCAATGCCTGTGTGGGCTGTAGGAGAGCTTTCTTAAAAGAAATCTGGTTATGTCCTTCCTTTGCTTAAAACCTGCAGTGACTCCCTGTTTCCTGTAACTACCTGTAACTGAGGTGCACCACTTGTAAGGCCTGCAAGCTTCACTGTTCTGCTCTCTCATTCTTACCCCACTGCAATGTTTAATGCTTTATTTGCTATTCCCCATAAGTTGTTCCCTCTGCTTGCAGCTCTTTCCCACCACTTCCTCTCCTGCTGATCCTACTTCAGCCTTTAGGTCTCGTTAGAAGTGCCACTTTCTCGGGAACCAGCAGTTAGCGTAATGACTATGTCGCTGGACTCCCACGTAGTCAACCGCAGTTCACGTCCCGGACCCGGTGGCTTAAAACTCACGCCAGGCGCGTGTGCCCAAGATCCCAAGAGGAGAATGGAGGGGAAGGGATTGCGGTATGACCATTCCCCCGGGGAGTGATTTCTCACTTTCTGTCTGTCTGGTGAGCGCACGTGCCCTATAGCGAAAACCTCTCAAAAAAAAAAAAAAAAAGAAGAAGTGCCACTTTCTCCTGGATCCTTCCCAGTGACCTGGATCAGCTGCCCTGGACCTAGTACCTCCCAACTGTGGTACTGCACTGTGGATATTGGCCTGGCTTCCTTTTGGACTGTGGGCTCAACAAGTAGGGGCAGGGCTGCTGTCTTCCTAGTAGCATGTGTTTACTGCCCACTGTTTCCGGGGCAGAACTATTATGAGGGCTTTCTCTATGAATGCCATCCTCCAGCCTCTATGGGAGACCTCTTTTGATGAGGTAGTTCCCACGCCCTGCTCCTCTAAACTAGACCAACCTAGGGAGGGCTTGAGAGTGTGTACTTCGAAAAAGCTCCCCAGGTGATCCAGCCATAGTCAGAGAAATCCTCAAGGGTGTGGTGGGTATCATTGGAGAACCGTATGGGGTGACAGGCCTTACCAGCAGAAGGTACTCACTATGGAGATTTGGGTCCCATCAGGTCAGGTTTGATATGGATGGGAGGTCTTTCCTAACTGTAGCTTTCAAAGGTGGGGAGGGCACTTGCTCTCACACCCCAGGCTTTGGTGTTTACCTGTCCACTCATGGCCCCTCCTGGTGAGCTGAGGAGCTTCTCTTAGGAGCACTTGACACTTTTGACAGGGAGAACACTGATGAAATGGCTTAGGGAAAAGATGGCAGTATTGTTGGGCCTTCTAAAGTGGCTTTGTGCTATTGGGATAAAAGGAAGTTATCTCTTCTTACCCTCCTGGTTACGTCAAGTCTCCTTTGGGTTTGAAATAATGGAGCTTTGGGGCCATGGTGGAGAGCTGGGGTTTCCATGGCTTAGATGCCATGTGAAGACCATAGCTCAGACTAAGCTTCCTTTCAAGATAGTCAAGTCTAAGGGTAGACTCACATCATAGGCACATAGAGTACTGGGGTTTCAGTTCAGGTCCCAAGCTAGAAGGCAGGTGGTAACACACTGGTAGACAAGATCATGACTTGAGTACGTCTGTAGAAAGCTAAGAGGAGCAGTCTCTTTGCTTTGCTAGACTGCTATGGTCTTCTGGAGTCTGGATCCACAGTTCTCACATCCCTCTTGAACCTTTGATGATGCGCAGACAAGATCATCTACTGTCTGTTTACTTCTTCTGAGAGGCAGCAAATCAAAGACTTCTGCTCTGGCACTCAGGGACCACCATAGGTAGTCAACTGAGCAAGAAGGCCCAGGGTTTGGCAGGAGCCCCATCAAACTACTGAGTTCTTGAGAGGAAAAGGAACAGGTGATGCTAGTGATGGGTGACATTTCGGAGGCATTTTCCTTTGGTTAGGTCCTGGCAGAGGAGATTTCCCTGTACCCATGCTGGGACTCTATCTGTTACATGGCTTTGGAGGGGGTAGGGTTGGAAGGAGTTATGTCATGCCCAGAGCCAGGAACCGCACGGGGAGAAATAGTGGTTGTTCACGAACAGGCTATGGATTCATCTTGGGTCTGAGAGGGAGAGGCGGGGTTGTAGTAGAAATGCATAGCATAAAAGATCAAAAATTGTGGGTTGGAATCAAGGCCAAACATGGGACCTTGAAGAGATGAGGTACAAGGATAAGTGATGGCCAAGTCACAGCTTCAGTCTCAGAGAAGCTTGGAGGCCCTGTTGGAGTTCTGGCTGGCACAGCCTAGCCCCACAGTCGGGTCTGCATCTTGCCTTGGATTGACCCCTCTCCATCCTCTCTTCCACCAGGCGCCTAGATGCCAACCTCATCTCCCTGGTCCCGGAGAGGAGCTTTGAGGGGCTGTCCTCCCTCCGCCACCTCTGGCTGGACGACAATGCCCTCACGGAGATCCCTGTCAGGGCCCTCAACAACCTCCCTGCCCTGCAGGCCATGACCCTGGCCCTCAACCGCATCAGCCACATCCCCGACTACGCCTTCCAGAACCTCACCAGCCTTGTGGTGCTGTGAGTGCTGCTCGGACCCCATCCCCGGCTGGGTCCTGCTGGGAGCTGGGGGCTGCATGCTTCCGCAAGCGGATTGGAAGCCTGGCTGGCTTTACTCGTCTCTGCATGTTGGTGAACCTTCTGGTCTCAGTTTCCCCTTTGTGAGAGGATAAGGATGACCATCCTCCATTGATGCCACAGGGTTAGCAAGAGGCCCGATGATGTTCTAGCTATAGAAGGCTCTGAGAGTCACTAAAGGGCCAGCAAACAGGAATGAAGAGGTTCCCTTCTTTCTAGGCAAATATCCTAACTATACCATGTTAATGGGAATATAAGTCAAATGTTTCTTAAATAATTTCCACCATATTTGACAATCAAATGATGAGTCTTGGGCTTTGGCACAGAGATGGGATAAACCCATCTCATTTTCTAGGCCTGAAGAAGCGGAGAGAAGTCATCACTTGTAATTAGACAGCAAAGCCCCGTCAGGGTAATTACCTGGGAGATAGCATCCTGGCAGGAGTTGGGGACTGGGGTTAACTCTGCCTTCCCAAGGGGAACTTTAGAGTGCAAATTAGCTCCCAGCTAATTGCTATGAATGATTGGGAAGTTCATAGGGTAATTACTAAGGGCTTGGAGGTCATGTGTAATTGTTGTGGGTTCCACCCTAATTGCTGCAGGAACATGGCTCAGGAACATGCGTGTTAGTGACTCCGCTAAATGGCAACTTCGCTTCCCCTGCTCTCAGAAACCTGGTGTGACTCTCCAAGCCAGAAATAGGGGGTGCTTAGTTCCACTTGAGAGATGAAAAGGCTGGCTCCAATCTGATGATCTAACTCTCTGTTCAGAGATTGGCCAGCTGAGGTGAATACCCTTACGGACCTCATCCTTCTATCAGGATGACCACACCCTCCCTCCTTCTGGAAGTCAGTGGGAGTATCTACAGAGGGCCGTCTGACTTTGGTGCTGTCCCTGTGACATCATGAGGAGTGGGGTCAGGTGTCTGTGAGGGACAGGAAGAGTGGAAAATAAGAACGTCAGGATGGGTCCCCCTGTGAGCTCCTCTGTGGGCAGAGAAGGGTCAGAGAAGTGTGAGAGATAGCCGCTGCCCTTGAGGGCTGGTGGAAAAGAGTTGGGGGAGTTGTGGCACGAGACCCTGTTGAGAGTGGCTTTCTCTCTTTCTCCCCCTCTCTCTTTTTTTCCTGCAGATATTTTTACATTTTATTTTATTTCTTTTTTTATGTTTTTTTAAAATTGTATATACATTCAATCACTACGCATCACTTAGCTTGTAAAGTGAATTTACCTAACATAGATACACCAGTCCAGCTGAGGATACTATACCCAACACTCTCTCTCACAATAAATAAAATAAATATTTTTTAAAGAATTATTTATTTGATTTTATTTTCTATCATTGTTATTATTATTTCTTTTTTAATTTGACCGAGGAAAGACAGAGAGAGAGAGGGAAAGTGAGAAAGCAAGCCACCAGGTCTGGGACTCAAACCACCATGCCACCTGCCAGCCCCCAAATAAGCTTTTTTTTCTTAATTGTTTATTTCATTTCATTATTATTATTATTTTTTTAATTGACTTGAGAGAGACAGAAAAAGAGACAGAAGGGGAAAGGGAGAAAGCAAGCTGCCAGATCCAAAACTTAGACCATGGTTAGTCGGGAGTCCAGCACCTTAACCACTATGCCACCTGCCGGCCCTCAAATACACTTTTTTTAAAAAGCAAAACCTACTGCATTAGAAGCAAAGCTGAAAGAGAACTGGTCCCTTCACATGGGGTTTTTCCAGAAATGCTATCGTTTTGTCCTTAGTCTGCCTCCCACTCGTGGGGTGGAGAAGCTTCTAGTAGGCGGTGACCT